ACAAACATCAGTGGCTAAAAGATTTTATTCTTGTTTTTTGTTTCTTGTGCAAGTGGAAGCCTTACATTCAGGAATCTACAATCAGATAAAATGAACTGCTAAACACGCTTGGGCCAATCTTGTATTGGCAAAGAAAGTGATAACATGTACTGATAAGTCATCTTTATCTCCAGAACTTCAGGATTTTACAAATCTAATAGATTGAAATGCTGGCTCATACCAAGAAGATGTACCACCAACAAACGGAGTTAGAAGTGAAGTAGCTCCAACTGCAACGTTCATATTCTCATCTCTATTCTCCTATCAACCCCCAAACCTGCTTGACTCTGCCACTACACAAACTTCTGAGGAGTCATGATACATTTCTGCAACTACTGAACAAGTCCAACAATCAGCGATAAATTTACATAGGCTACAATTCTTAGTACCACATTTAGAATATTGCTTTTCTACACTTCTACTCCCAGATGACCCAAGACAGAAGAATATAATTACAGAGGGTAGGGCAGGAAGAAAAAAAAAAAAAAAACTAGTCCATTTCTCAAAAGGCAGCATTTAACAATAGGAGCAAAGTCTTGGTTTTCTATAGAAGTCATTCATCAGATCTCCTGCAGAAAGCAGAACATCAAAATTGAAGATCCCTAAAAGCTGAGTCAGATACCTGGCCAGATCGGCAACAAAGTTCACCTGCAAAACCAAGTATTTTTCAGAAGAATGTAAAATAACCACATCTACCACAAAACGTGGACTTCCTTAATGATTTGCTTAATGTTATTAGTGAAATCTCACATCTTTGGGGAGAACAAACAACGTGTTTCAAATTATCAAGCAAAATTTTATTTTATGAACAGGAATGTTTTGGAAAGAGCAAATTCACTCTGAAAGATCATCTTAGATCAACTGCAGATCTTTTCAGTATACCTCCATCTATGTTAAAACAAAAAAACTGGTCTGTCATTTCTTATTCACTTTCTTCAATTGTCACAGCAACAGAACCACAAAACAAGTGACACTCCTGCACAGCAGGATTATTCTGTCTTCCCAGGAAAATAAAAATCAGCTTACATTCATCCCAAGAGGCAACAGATTTCAAGAATCATCATCGATCTTCTAGGTTACATGTTTCCAACATCAGAAGCTCAGTATTAACTACTGCTGAATATAAAACTGGTACCACGTTTTTGCCAAATGTACATTTCCATGAAGCAGGAGCCAAACCAGTGGTCTGAACTGCACTTTTGATTACATACAGCTGCTTACACAGACTATTTTCAGTTTTATTAGCCCTGAGGCAATTTCCATGTTTTGTAGACCAGTTATCAACAGTATCTGATTAAGATACAATGGGGAAGAACTGACTATTGCTTATATGCAATTCAAACAGTTTAAATCACTCTGCAAACTGTCTGAGGAGGCCAGCTTTAGTAACTCCAAAAGAGAATTTCAAAAAAAGATCAGTGATGAGCGCAATTCTGAAGTTTAGAAAAAAAAAGTCACACAAAAAGACCTGACAAGAATAGCAGAGAGCAACAGGGTGACATCATTAAATTTTCCATTTTACTTTATTTCCTGTAGAAGTTATAAAAAAAACCTTTTCCATATAAAGAACATCAATGGGATGCTTATCACCTGTATCAGTTATTTTATATTAGTGTTCGTATTCCTTGAATGCCTGTCATATGAAGGTCCCAAATGCTTTACAAACATCTTTAATTTGCCTCAAAGAAAGTGAAACACAACTCCGAGTCTCTGAAAACATCCTCTGTGCTTTCGTGGTGGCCACCATTCACTAGGTGGTAAGTCAGGCTTTCATCACCAGTAACAAGTCAGTCTGAGCCACTGAGAGCTGGGATATCAGGCAAACATTAAATTCAAAGGACTGCTGGGTCTGAGGGTTTCTTACAATGTTCTTGTTCTGCAGTCCTACGTATTCTTCTATTAATCCCTAGACAACATGGGTTTCCAGTTATACTTTGTTGTATTTCTCAACTTCTAAAAGTAAAGCTTTTTCTTCTGATCTAATGGTTGTACCATGACTTATCACCTACATACTGCATTTCTGTGCCTGTGCATGGCTTAGTTTGATTCAAAGTCTGTTATTAATACAAAGCAATGCAGTTTTAACCAATTGAGTTTGATGACTGCATTATACAGCTTATAAAAGGAAAGTGATCACTGACTTACAAATTACATAATTCAGCCATCCAACATGAACTGCATGAAGAGTTCTTGCAGAGGAAAAAAAGGAGTGGGCAGAAGTGTTTTGGTTAAAATAGAGCAACATCAATCATTTCCATCCTGAAATAGGCTAACAACTAGAACATTAATACTTATCAAAGAAACAGGGGAAAAAAACCCCACTCATTAGTAAATAAAGGTGTTGCAAAGCACTAAATAATTCCCACCAGCTGACAAGGGGGCTGTGATTTATAATGGTGTGTATTGATATATCACTTCCCATAATTAGGAAAAGTGAGACTGGTACTGCTTACAGCATTATTTTGATCAGAGCCCTGAAAAATACTGCTGAATAACACCACCACACACAACAACAGAAAAACACCACAGCATGCTCTCAGGCTGCTTCATATTTGAAACGCAGTATTCTAACAAAATCCAGTAAGAAAGGCAAATTCTGTTTAGACACATATAACCTTATCGCACAATAGCATCCTAGTGTGAATTATTACTGTTATAACTCCGGGAAGATCACAGATATAAAACATTCAAGCTACGTAACAAACAAGCCAGAATCAAAGGCTAATTATTTCTCATTTTTTTTAAGCAACAAGTTATTCATCATTGCTCTTCTCTTTCTGAAGTAAGAAACTAACCTCAGTCTACTAAAATGTCAAATTCAAATAACCTGCATACTAGTACAAGGCAGCATATGTGGCAAATTCTCTCCTACCATTGCATCTTTTTGGTAGTGCAAAGAGAAAATAAATTGGTAATTTTCATTTCCTTTTGTTCCAATTATTAGGCACCAAAACCACTTTTATAGTTATACATAGTAACTGTAAAATAATTAAGATAGCCCTGGATCATACTTTTGTTCAAAATCAGCATAGGAACCAAAGACAAAGAAACACAAGCGTCCAAGAGCTGAAGATTCCAAGGACACCCAGCTGAAGAAGGAAGATGCATTCTCCAAAAGTAAGATGGACATACCTGATGTTACCCATCCGCAGTGCTCCCAAATGCTGCTTTAGGCAGGATTTCTAGGGAGAATTGTCCTGGTTTGGGCTGGAATAGAGCTAATGTTTCTTTTTGGTAACTAGAATAGTGCTGTGTTTTAGATTCAGCATGGAATTTGGTATGAGAAGAATGCTGATGGCACACTGATGTTTTCAGCTTCTGCTGAGATTTCAAGGACTTTCCAACTCCATGTCCTGCCTGTGCGCAAGGGCACAGGAGGCAGGGAGGGAGCAGAGCCAAAGCACCACACTCAAACTGGCCAATAAAATATTCCATATCATGGAATGTCATGCTCACTATATAGAGGAGGGGTGGTCAGGAAGGGGGGCTCTCTCTCTCTCGGGATTGCAATTGCAGGATCTTGGTATTTTGGAATCACTGGCCGGGAATGGGCTGAGTATTGGTCAGTGCTGGTGAGCAATTGCATTGTGCATTGCCTGTTTATATTTTCTATTATTGTCATTGTTTTCATTTTATTACCATTATTAAACTGTTTCTATCTCAACCTGCAAGACTCCCTTTACTCCTCCAATTCCCTCCCCCATCCCCAGGTGGGGAGGGAGGGTGGGTGAGCGGCTGTGTGGTGTTTGGCTGCTGACCAGGCTCAAACCACACAACTCATCCAACAAACAGCAGCTGGTGATTCTGCATTTACTTTTACTGTTGCCGTTATGCTAAACTTTCCTGTTTTCCTTGAGGTTTTCACTATATTCTCCTCCCACTATATTCACTTTTTTTTTCCAAACTATCATTGCCTAGCTCAGAGACCCTCAGAAAAATATGATGTCCCACCTTTTTTCTTCTCCAGTAAAGTATACACAGACTACTGTAATTCCTGTTCCCCCCTCCTCCTTTCACATTTTGGTACGTTTTTCCCCTCATCATAGCTTTTCCAGTGCTTTTTTCCACCACCACTGTGATATCAAGAATACTTTGCACACTACCCAAATTTGCCACCCCTGCCATTGCTGGTCACTAAAATCAACCCTGCAATAATGAAAGTCAATATTCTCCAGGCAGACAGCTGAGCAATAATTCATAACTACAGCAGTGGGAAGCAAAAAGGTAACCACATGTTTCCCACTCAAATTAAAAAAAAAAAAAAAAAAAAAAAAGAAGAAAAATAGAACGTCAATGTAACTCTGAACAGCAAGGACATTTCACCAAAACATTAGCCTAAAAATCACACAAAATTAAAAGCCCATAAAGGGCATTTTTCCAGACTGCCAGGGAAACAACATTAGTCATTAGCTGTATAATACCTGGCATCTACAAAGCATTTCTGTCCACAGAACCCAATGCACTTGAGACACATTTAGACTAGAAACTCTCCCAAGAAGTAGGTTAAGTATTATTATCTTATTTTATCTGTAAGAAAAATGAGGCACAGACAAAAATCATGCATCCTGTTCAAGGTTACAACAAAAATTAATAAGAAAAGCAAGAACAGAATCCAAGCGGCCCAGGTCCTATTTTGTGCCCCGTGTACAAGGAAACACCAGTTCGTGTATCATTCATTTCTCCAGTGACAGGAATATAAACTCCCACGGCTTATCTGCACAGGAAAGGAGTTCACAGCCAGTAATCCCTAAGAGCCTTTCCACTCCAGCTCCCTCTATGAAGCACTGATTCTGCTCTTACAAGGCAGATTAAATGTGATCTTCAGAGTGCAACAGAGATATCCTTCTAGGGACTTGTCACTTTGCTTCAATTCAAATCTTATTTTTTAATTTATTCTCTTCTGTGAGCAAGCCAAGGGATTCTGGTCACTTCAAATCTTTTATTTTAACTGACTTCTTTAGTGCTACTGCTCACTGAGAATACCAGTATCTCAAGCTGCACCACTAGCCTTCCCACTCTTACCCCAATAAGCACAAGCAATCTTCAAAAGCAATGTCCAGAAGCACTGGGCAAGCAGATGATCCAGTTACCGTCATACAGTTTTCCTCAATGACACACATCTGTCACTGATACCACAGTGCACCTCAAAAGAAAATGTTTCCCAGTTTGGGTGGATGACATCTCAGCAAAATAAGCTGGATCTCCATGCAACAATGTGTCACAATACTTTAACACCGCATTTTTGTAGAAAAAAGTCCTGAAAGGACAAAATCTTGGCCATCTGCCTGAACTTCCAAAGAACTGCCAACATAATAATTCAGTTACATTGCCCATGCTACCATAAAACTACATTAAATTCAAAATGTTTGAGTGCATCCAGAATTTAAAATTAATGTTCCTTGGAATGAGCACTTCGTTTTACAATCAAGATGAAGAAAACAAAACAAAAAAATTACTTCAACAGTGTTCCTCTACTATTATGGCTAACATTTAATGTCATTTATTGTCATTAAACTCAATATTTGTGTCTAATCAATACTAAGCTACCAAGGGCAGTCGTAACAAGTCTGGACTTCCTCTACAGGCTCTATTGATTTCTTTTTTTGGAGACCTACAACAAACACAATTTATACAAATAATTTATCAGGGAACACATCAAAATAATTTAATAAACAAAAACTATATATTCCTTTTCTCTTCTGTCATGTGACAGAAAATCATTTTAACTCATTAATGGTAATCTCAGCGGTTCGATTTTAAATTTATGTAAAAACAAAAGGAAGCTATGAAGTAACAAACTTAAATCCAAATATTTTTTAGTGTATTTCAACACGCAGATCAACAATTTTTTTTCATTTTGTATTTGCCAGTGTGTTCCTTTTAAATAAATTTATGACAATTCCTGTCCAGCTTTGTTCACTTGGAATATTTACAATACAACTGATACTGTAAAGCTTATGCAAGTTGCCATAATCTTATTCTCACAGATAAGTAAATTAAATCATTTGATCTAAATCCTAGTCACCCAGAGAGTCAAAGTCAGAAAAGTTGATTTTTTGCTTTCTGCTCGAAGTGGCAGATAACAGCCTTCCCAAACACAGGGTTATCATGTTTTTTAAGTACCATTTCATGATGATAAAACAATACCACTGCCACTCTCATCCACCTATGCACACAGGTTCAAAGTACAGAAGTGTTGGAATTGAAGTACAGCAAATGGACAAATGCAACTCTGAAAACAGTAGAGCATACAATACTCCAGTGAAGTTAAAATCAAAGAAAAAATTTAAAATAACGTCCCCTGTTCCAAGACTACAATTATTTTACATTTCCCCCACTTCTACTGCTGTTAATATTATTTGAAAGACTGAAGACAAACTCTCTACTGCAAAGGGGAAAAAAAAAATAAATGAATGATGACCTACAGGACATGGTATTTTTACTTGGCCAAGTAAATTCTGCTAATAGTGCTATGACTCAACAACTCAGGGAAGACTTAGTTTGCTGCTATCTAACAAATTCAACGTTTAAGTCTGGTAGAAAAAGTAACGCTATAGTGTTGGTTTGGTAGTTGATCCATCTTGCATATACCCTTCAAACAACCAAACAAAAGCAAATATACAAAAAATCTCCACCATTGATTAAAGCTCAAATGCTGGGCATGGACTACTTGACAGCACTCCATTAAGAGAGGGAAATCTTGCCCTATAAAAGCTTTTGCCTTGTTCAGTGGACATATAACAACGCTGTGTATTTTCTGTTCCACTGGAGTCAATGGAAACACCTTAACAGATGCAGGGTGAGGGTGTACAAATGCTTTGCCAAGGGCAAAGAGGATGAACAGATACACGCTACAGGCAATAACTAACCTCACAAAAGCAGCAGATAGAAAACAAAAGTTTATACCACTCAAAGAATGAGTTCAAACTCCTGGATTCCAAAAGCCTACATCTAACTCTGACCGCCAGCATTACTGTAGTTGGATGAGGCAACCACACCATCACAAGCTTTATTAAACATGTTATATATCAATAAGCATATAATACTGGTTTAATCACATCATCAACAAGTATTTTTCCCCCATTAAACTCCTTTGTCGCCTGGTACTAAGAACAAATATCGAGAAACATTCAGTTTCTTAGTAAAAGATGTTCTTATTGATGAGATCATGTTCTTCTCTACTGCAGAAAACAAGCAGCACCCAGGAAGGAGGAAGGCCAGCATAAGGGCACTTGTTAAAGAAGTAGACTGAAGAACAAAAGCAGCAAGGTCTTCCAGGGCTTTGTCACAAATGAGGCTACATCTCATTTTTAAAAAAATTAAAAAAAAAAAAATTGAAACTGAACCAGTATTTCAGTCTAGTAAGTGACTTTTAAAAATTCCTTTCATCTAAACTTATAGGTGATGCATTCTTCCCTGTGGTAGCTTCATTTGAATGCCAATATGATGCAGTATGAAGCAAGCACCTGGTAAAGGGAAGAAGGCAGCAGCACCCTGCAGATCAATCCTGACTGTTCCAAGCAGTATCAGGCCACATGCATACAAAACAGAAAACCTTCTGCCTGCTGGTGTCATCTTAGATTTCAGCTGCTCAGACACATCAATCACATTACAAAAAAAAAATTCAACAGATAAGATGTACATAACTACTAAAACCAGAATTCAACTACAGTTACTAACCAGAAACAGTCCACATGAAAAAAACCCTACTGATTTCCACAAACTTCCTAACTTACCAATAATCCTTTATCTGCATTACCTATACAGAATAATAGCTCATTTTTACCTTATCTAATATTCTATCTTCAGTATTACATTAGAGAGCACATACGAATCCTTCTGGGAAACAGCATTTCAATTGTAATGAAGAAAACCTTTTTTCTTAAATAAAATTGAAGAGGAGGGGAAAAAAAAAATTGTCAGGTAGACCTGAATACTGTTCCATGGCTACTACATGCCTCCATGTACCCCACAGTCAGCAAAGTAATTTACTTGTATGATTTCTACCGATACATGAAGCTAAAGCAAAGAAGAAAACCCATTTAGTTCTTGCAATAAGATCAACTTAAACTTTCTGTGTTTTTCAGCTATTGCTTGTGAGCTCTGTTAAACACCTGGAAAAGTAAAGTTCCTTTACAGCTGCATGTGTATGTAATTAATGCATTTAACAAGCTGTTGTGTTCCCAAACAGCTGCTTCCATTATACAGACAACTTTACCATCTGCAAAACTATTGGGTAAACTACAGTAAGTAAATATCAGGATAGCAGGTGCTAATAAATAACAAGCATTGCCAAGATAACACACTTCTATAAGGAAAGTTTTAGTTTTTCCCAATGTACTTTTCTGAACCCCCTGAAGCAGGCAAACTTAAGATACTTAGAGGAACTAGTGGTGTGACTCACAGGAACAGTAAAATAAGGTTCAGGGCAAATATCTCTGAAATCACAATTAAATGTAACCCATCTCTACTACACTAAGCCAATGAGGTAGGTCAGTAAATTTGCACCTAAAAGTGGGTCTTCTCAAGAAACATAACCAGACACAGCTACAAGTATTAACTACGGTAAATAAACCAAGTTGGAAAGTATCACTTAAGTCTAATCTCCTATGTCAACATTCACAACCTAAACAGAGAATTTTGTATTCATGTCTGTATTATCTTCACTACACTTTGCACACAGCACTGCTACTTAACCTAAAATGCTTATCTGAGCATCCAAGACCAGATCAAAATCAGGCATTTGCTTGACCCAGCACCAAGCTGCAAATATAAAGAAATAACTTTTCTAACATCCAGTCTCATGAACCACAAGGAACAACGATTAACACAGTCTCAGCTGAAATTTAAGAAAACAAAACCAAACAAGCTACTACTTGTGCAACCAATTTTGCTGGAAAAAGTAAGAGTCATATATGTAGCTATGATCCAGATTTACAAAAGAAAACAGAAGAACTGATTTGGTAGTACTATGCTTTAAAGTGTTTCACGTGGTTTATGGCATTTGGAAGATTACTCTTACTATATTCTCTAACAACTCGCTGAGACTATCATTTCCACAGCAGAAATACTGATAAAAGTGGACCAACTAAAAATCTCACTTTTTCAAACAAACAGAGTATTTTACAGGATAAATTTTTGAAACGCTGGGGGTTTTTTGGTTTGGGTTTTTGGTGTTTGGTTTTTTTTTTTTTTAAGAATTACCATTTCAGGCCTCTAATTGTTGTTTCAATTTTAGATAAAAAAATAATGTAGCAAAGCTTTTTTTTTTTTTAATGTATAATGTTTCAATATACTGAACAATAATTTGCTTCTCATGAGATAGCTGAGTTATTACTGACCTTACTACTGTCCTACAAAGCTGCTAGTACCAGCCTCCCCATGTTGTAAAAATAAACAGAATGCACTGAAACACGTAACACAGTCTGCGTACTCATTTTCCCTGTATTTCATGAACGTCCTTTGGACTTGTACAATATCCCCAAAACTCTACTCCATCTACCCTCCCCTGGCATCCATGTGGCTATTCATGCCATCAGTAATTCATGAAAAATCAAAGAGAGAGGAAAATGCCCTTATCTCAGCTCATCAAAAATACAAGCAAGCAAGCCACAAAGGGGTCACAAATTAAAAATTAAATGCAGACAGACATAAAGTGTATTGACACATCACCACATCTAAATCCTCCCTTCAAAGCAACAGAAAACAACAAACACACATAATAAGAACAGAAGGCAGCCAAAAGATGTTACGAAATAACATTTATTCAAGTGTATTTAGCAATGAAGAATTAAGCAGCAACCACACACAAGCATCAGTAGGGTCTTTGCTGCTAATGGTAAGTCCAGCAGCTCATGCCCTCATACAGGCAACACACCTGCTGTTAGGAACAGGGGCAACCTACCCATGCCTGCTGGTTACTGCAAACCCCAGAAAGGGATACTAGTAAAGTTCAGAAGAACTATTAGACAAAAAGCAGCTTCTTAAATACAACTTAAACAGTATCTTTTCTTTTGTCTGTAAAACAGAAGTCAAAGGAACAAAGATAAAAGAAAAAAAAATACTGATTTTCTCCTGGAACACTTAACTGTGTTTATGAGTACACAGGATACTAAAACTTTCTGATTTCTGAAATCAGAATCCAGTATTACAAAAAACTGCTCTTCAAAGCTCCATACCACTCTAAGTTAATAAAAAACTCTATTAGTACAGCTCTGTCAAAGCTATTTCATTATCAACTGATCTTACTCTGATAATGACTTAGAGAAGTAATTAAATCAGTAAAAATTTGACTGCATTACAAGTTTAGAAGTTTTCATGCATAAATGTTAGATGGATTTGCTTATTTTCTGAAAGTAGCAAATTAATTATTTTTTCTTCAGTGTCAGTAATCTGCTAACAGCAAGAAACACAAGCAAACACGAAATATTTTCTCAATTAATAAATCTCTATTTTAAAATCCTTCCTGTCATCCATTTTCCAACCATACTAAATTTCTATCAATGCTAAATGTTACTGATTTCAGAAGATGTTAACACATATTTATATGCAGAAAAGTGACTGTACAAACATTATTGTGGTATTCTTTTTTAAATCTGAGTAATATTAGATTGGTTGGCTCAATGTATAACAAGAATTTGCCTACTAAGTATTTGTGTAGTCTGAAAGACTTCCTTGCTCATGTATCATAATAAATAATTTAAAGTGAAATTGTTTCCTTTAATGGTCTAAATATTTTCAGATTTACTATTCCTGCTTACTCCTGCTGTCTTGTGTAAGGTTCTTAAAAGCTCCAACTCTGGAATCTCTCATTAATAATAATTATCATAACAGAAATTAATCCATCTTTTACATTTTATAGCAGCTCACTAGTATTTAAAACATAATTTTAAGAAAGCTTTTAAATACTTATTCATTTCTCTACAAAGTAATAAGCATGCTCAAAAAAATCAGGATGTAATAGGCAACCTGAAACATAACGGTGCTGAGACAGAGACCAGTAATAATTGCAATAACACAGTGCATACTTATTTAATAAAATCAGATGTGAGGAAAGGAGCATTGCTGACCCACAGGTAGACTATCTTCATAGCAGAGAAGGAAACGTACCTATCAAATTTCTGTCTCTGGATATATTAGGCATACAGGTTTATGAAAATGACCTATGCTTATGAGAAAGAGGTTTCTTTCAACAATTAATTTTTTAAAAATGTAAAAAACTGCATTAACATTATCTGGCTTTTTTTTTTATATTACTTAAAATTCAATACACAATCTGAAAACACTACGTACGCCAAAGCTGTTGAAAACAAAGTTACTTCTGAGACCAGCTGCAAATGTTTTTTAGCAGCAGAAAATGGTATGAAAAGGCAACAAGATTTCTGGTGATGACAACTTCCGTATGTTTCTTTCCAAGAAATACAGAAATAGGTTTGCAGGTGACATAAGCTCTTGATTCTCTGCTCTAATATCCCACTGCCCTCTGCTACAGTGTTTACTGACAGATGCAAGGACACAATATACTTTTCTTTTATACCTACGTAAGATGCTAAGCAGCTAACATGAAAAGTAATTGTTCTGCTTGGGATTTAACACCCCCTTTGAAAAACAAGGACACACATCACAGAAAAGTCTCCTCTCAACTAAACACCATTTTTATCCTTGAGAGTACATTTAGGTACATATTAGGCTCCTTAACTTCATTAAAAACTCAGCAATTTTGACAATCTCAAACACTCAGAAGTCTATCACAAATCAAACATTCTGTAGGAATACACAACTAAATTACACTGTTACCTTATTTGACCATTTGTAGGCTTGAAGAAGTTGGCTGTAAAGAGGTGTTTTATCCTGAACAGGATCTAGGCTCAACAGTCCACTATTGTGCAGGGGGTGGTTCTCAGATGGTTTACCAACTAGGTTGCTCAGACGCTCCAGCTCACTGAAAGAAAACAGAATGGCATTTTTTTAAAGTCAGATCTATAGACAGAGATATCTGAGATGTACAATCCTCCTGCAGGAACAGCAATCAAGCATAAACTCTATTTTAATACCTAAGTGAGTTTTAAACACCTCCCTAATTCGATAAAAACACATAATCACTCCCATTATCCAAACAATTTAAAGCGGTCTGTTAGTCATTAAGCTCACTGCTTCTTAGGAGAGAACTTTGCAGAACAGCCTGGAAAGAGTCAAAGTATGGCAGGTCCTGCTCACAAGCACTTCCAGAACTCGGGGCATCTTCTGAGCAATGCATACCCTCAGAAACTAAAAAATTCTGCTTCTAATATTGCAGACAATGCTAAAATAATGGTTTTTAACCATCAAGCAGGCAGATGCTTCATCATTTCACTAAAGAACTAGAAATTAATGTTGACCTCATATAAATATAAGGAAGAACTGGCATTAGTCCTAAACCCAGAGATGGTCCTGCAAAGTCCGTGATTACTCTAGGCAAGTATACAAATTCCAAGTTCTCAGGTCAAGGAAGCATCTTCTGATTTCCACAAGCAATTTGTAAATATGTAGACATGCTATGTCTGAACATTCTGAACTTCAGAACTTCTACTAAATTATAATCAGAATTTGGATCATTCAAAAGGTGACTTCTGAAAATCTCTGTAGAGAAAAATCCCAAATATCTCAATTTGCATTTAATGTTGGTTATGAAAATAAACAACAACAACCAGGGAACTGACAGTTAAGGGTCTTCCACACTTTACTACCACAATATTCTTCTTTATTAACCATCATTTCTACAAGTTTCTGTGGCCTACATTCTTTCTAAGCCTCTGGTGCTGTGAACTCATAAACGTGCTTAATGCGCTTAATGTGAATAGACATAACAACTAAGGACTTGTTGAACAAAGAACCCAGTCAATACTTTCATGATGTGAGCCATAGCCCACTGATAATATTAACTTCAATACACCTTGGAGTATTCCCTTGTTACTTGAAATCTGTGCTTCCCAAACATGTAATAGAATAATGTAACTCTTAGATGCTACATAAAGTACAGTATTTGGGGGCAGTACTGTTTCAAAAAAGACAAATGAAATATACTCCAAAATATAACTATTATTGCAAGGAATCTGGAAAGAAATGGTCGCCAAAGCACTGATAGGCATATCCACTAATGCTGTGGAAGAGATGGTAGAAAAGGAACTGGTGATGTTTGATAAAGAAGCTACTCTCAGTTATGGTAGTAAGGACAGGCACTGACTGCAAAGAATCACACAAGAACTTCACAGCACTGAAATACGGGATGATAAACTGCAAAGTAGAGGAGTGTAGAATACTACACACGGGACAAGATAGGCCAGAGCCAATTGCTATCTATTACTGTTTGGGAACAAGATTCCAGGGTTATACTAGATAATTATTTTAAAAGCTGTCAAGCCAGACAAGAAGGATAACCAAAGGAATAGCCCAGCTTCCATGTTGAGAACCATGAAGCCTCAACTTGAAAACAATAAAAACCAAAGAGATAATAACAGACGTCTATAAAGCTGTGTACAACATCAGTCCTAAGAATGATTATCTACCATCTTGCCCAATAGAAGGGAAAAAGTAGGTAACAAATTATATTACCACGATCAAAACTAAAAATGTGCATGGCCTGTTAGCCAGCAAGAAACAAATTCTTGTACACAAGATCCCAAACACTAAATCTTTGGAGGCCAGAAGATGTGTTGGGAAAGGGTAGTTACGCACTTGCCCTGCCCTCGGACACCTCCCTGGACTGGGCTGATGGCTCCCAGGGGGACACAACTGACCCAGCAGTCCTCTGGCAGGATCCACACAGACCATCAGCCTCAAGTTTGTCTCTATTTATGGGAAACACACCTGCTGGTACTAAACAACTATACTTATGTGTACTAACTTTCCAGCCTTTCAAGTTTTGGTAATAAGCTGGTCATTGTTGAACCACTTGGACGCTACTGGATAGTCAGAGCCCATAGCGTGTTTGGTCTTTAACAAAAACTTCCGAAAACAGAGCAATATTTCCCTGCAACCAAAAGCATTCGCCTTCTCAATTCACCTCACCGATAGCTTCTTTTTTAAAACAAAACAAGAACAAAACCTAGGTGGCTATTATGAGCAGCATTCATCCCTTTGGAGACTCTGGAGTGAAACACCACGAAAAGGGTAAGGCGCACGAAGTCAGAAGGAATAAAATGGAGCGGTTTTGCATTTATTTGCCTAAAACTTTCTCCGGGAGTGGAAACGGCACTGCCGGGCGTCTCTGAGGGGCCAGGCCCTGGGGGCGGCGGGGCCCCGGGACCCCCCTGCCTCCCTCCCGCCGCCCTCGCGCAGGGCCGGGGCCCGGCTGCACACCCGGGCGGGGGGCGGGAGCCCCCTCAGCGCCAGCTGCTCACCCCAGGTCGCGGCTGACGGAGTGCAGGCTCTCCTGGAAGGCGGCCACGAAGCCCTTCTCGCGGCCCTCCAGCGTCTCCTTGTTCCGCATCCCATCCTTCAGGCAGTCGAAGACCCGCGTCACGCTGGAACGCAGCGCCTGGATGGCGGCGATGGCCTGGGAGAAGGCCTCCAGGTTCACCCCGGGGCTCAGCACCCCCTCCGCCATCTTGGCCGGCCAGGCCCGGCCTCTCCCCGGCGGGCCGTGAGGAGCGCGGCGAGGCGGCGGCGGCGGCCCGGGGCAGGCTGGGAAATGTAGTCCGGGCTCTGAGGGGGCCGCGGGCGAGCGGCGGGGCTGGGCGGGAGGCGAAGCTTCCCCCGGGCACCGCCCCGAGCGGGAGTGACGGTTACACCGGCACGGCGGGTCGCTTTTCAGCCTTTTATCCTCTTTTTTATAACCTCAGGGATTTCTTCAGCAAAGGCGGGCCTGCCTCACGTGCCCTGCGACAGTAGCAGCTTGAGGAGACGTCTGTCTGGCCCCCGAGGTTCAGAGCGCTCGCATATGCTTCTCTTGCCTTCCACAGAAATATATTTTTACTAGTCAAATGTCCTATTTTCTTTTATTTTCCTGTGCTGTGCATCATTCTCTGCTCACAACACAGGGTATATTCCCTCCTCTGGATGTTCTGTGGATCTGTAGGGTGTTTTCCAGGCATAGAGCCAGAAATAAAACCATTTAAAATAGGAAGCAAGGGCCCCCATCCTGCTGTAACAACTGTGCTTAGCTTTAAGCAAGTGGGAATACTTCTATAGGCATTATGCTCATTGGTAGACTGAAGATTTGAAGGTTGGGGCCCATGTTCCAGTCGTGATTACTGCCGAGATCAACAGGACAGGGACCAGCCCTTCATTATTGAACGCAAAGCACTGCAAAGTTTGAGAGCACTGTGACAGTCCTATGTAGTACTAGTCTGATTTTTCAGGAGCTGCTTATGTTTCCAATGCCACCGCCGGCTCTTTTCACCCCTAGAGTTCAGGTAAAATAAATAGAGCTAAAACAAATGAAGCACTGCGCAGGCCAATAGTCACTCCGCACAGAGTAAATTGCAGCACAGGGCTAGATTTTTGTTTTCTCAACCTCTAAAGTAAATAATAACCACTTTCATAAAGGTATTAATTAAATTCAGTAAGCACAAGCCACACAGTCAGATCCTTTAGTCAGGGGTGCTTTTTTTTTTTTTTTAATATGTAAAATGGCAATGAATACGACAAGGAACAGCAGATGTGTCAGTGGCCAAGTGAAGCGAGGCTTTGCCCTTCACTCAGTGACACTTCTCTGTCTGTCATGCAATGGATTCCGAAAATTGCATCCAATCAATTAAATGTTTTCAGTCAACATGAGAGGTATTGATAAGTAAAACCCTATTACTTATCATGAAGAATTAGAAAATTAAAAGGCTGTGGTTCTACTTCTCTTGAGCTTAGCAATGCTGTTGTTACTGAGCACAGAGGTAAAGCAAACTTGGAAGAAACGTAGTCTGAAGCAATATAGTTCAGCCTACATAAACTGTGAAATATGTAGTGGTGTACTTCAAAGAATCAGCAATGGACTAAGCACAGTTAGCACATAGGCAGATATGAACAAGATAGGAATAGTTCTTTATGTAAAAAAGCACTGCATCAAAGAATAGCAGCCAGAGACAGAAAGGACAGGAATACCTCAACCAGACTGGCAACTTAAACAGTTTATGGATCTATAATATTAATTATGTTAGACATAAAATACCTTTTGTTGGACTACAATAGATTGGTCAAGAAGGTACTGTGTTATTATAAGGGAATACTTGTAGGCTGAAAGATCATTCCTGCATGGCATTATTCTTTTTTTCTCTCACTGCAAAGTTCAGACTCTGGGTGCACATTGCAGATGTCTACAATGGAAGTGGATGATGCTTTCCCATTTCTTCCCCTCGGATGTAAGTTTTATTATTTTTAAACATGTATTTTCAGCTGTTAATATCATATTTATTTTAATGATCTGCAAGATCCCTGTCACTGTGGTGCCTGAGTGCAAGGATTTCTGATTTTACATCCTACCTGGAACAGTAAAAGGGCTTGACAGTTGTTTTACTATTTTTAAACTGCAACGACAAAACAGTGGCCTGAAAACAAACCCATAAATGTATAAGGAACCATTTGGAACTTGCCCTTAAAGAACAAAGAACACAGCACAGCTTTGGCTTAGAAACTCAAAGGAGCGCATTCACATTTTTTGCTCCAGGGATCTGCTTTTCCTTGCATAAATGAGAAGCCAAGTTCTCCTGAACAGACAACAGGCAATTCAGAGCACTAAAAACTCCGCTGGCTCCATGGAGAGTTAAGGCAGACTCTGTTTCAACACCTAAAGATAATGGCTAAAGAAGAGAGCAGGAATTCCTGTTCCTCTTATCACTCCTCCTGTTTTGCCATGTCTAGAAGGAAAAGACTGCATAATTTGGTGTGCTCATTTGTAGGGCATTGCTTTGCCTAAGTTGCTCGCTGCTTGCTTTCAAGCAATATTCCTTAAGTGGCAGCTTGCCCAAACCAAGGCAGTATGCTAATTTCATCTTCATTATTGGTATACTGTAAGTGGGCAGTATGGATATAAAATAGATGAAACCAGGGTATCTCCAAGGTACCGATAAAAATCTTTTTGCCTTAAAATCACTAGTAAAACATAAAAGCAAGAATCCAGCTGATGTTCAGAACATCCAAAAATCTTACTATCTGACAGCTGTTGAGTGGCTCCTGCTAAATTATTTGGGTGGCCCAATATGGACACATATCCACATCTGAGCAAGCATCAGAATTGACATCTTTTATCCTCTACACCAGAAATTCAAGGACCTAGTGATCTCCCTCCAAAAAAAGATCACTTTTAAAGCGTATGGATTATATCCACATTGCACAGTGCAGTGTCATGTAGAGAGATGCAAACAGCAACCGTGGCCCTGGAAGCAGCCTGCTCTGTTAGTTCAGCATTCTGACCAGACTAATAAACCCTGCCTCTCAGCATTGCTAATTAGCTCTGGCAGACCACTGTGCTAACACGGTGATACTACAGCTAGCCCACTTATCTCCACACACTGCTGCACTGTGCCACGTAGATAGGGTAAGAGATGGAATAGAGGAGACTGCAGTGAACTGCCAGTTCTGGATCTGTTCTGTGGCTAAAGAGAGAATTTCATTTTGGGTGCTGTCAGTCTCATAATGTACATAAGCTCTGAACTCACTTGGAGAGAAAGGGGGAAAAAAAAGTAACAATCCAACCTGGCATCACATGCAGCTTGACAAGAGCGGTACAGTTCTCTTCCAAAGCAGAAGCTTCACTGGGGAGCATGTAATTAAGATGAACCTTTCACAGCAAAGTATGTTATGGCACTATTACTCAAATTGCAACTACTAAGAACCAAGTGGGCTGTAATTAATCAGCAACATCAAAGAAAAGGAACAATTTCAGAATTGTGCAGGGGTACTGTAAACAATTTGTTAGGAAAGAAAGTACCCAATTAGAAATGCGTTCTCATTTAAAAGACATTAATTTTGTTGTCAGAACAGACAACTAATGGTGACTGTTGGGTTTCATACCAAGTGCAGATAATCTCTCATGAAATGTCTGGACAGGACTCAACATTTGGAATAACTGACATCATAATAAATGATCTTCAGATAAATGCTGATATTTATTCTGTGGCAAGTTGGACTGATATTCATCACCAGGGCCTCTTCATTTCTTTATACTTCATTGATACATTCTTGACAGCACTTCAGATAAATATAATAAACTGACTTTTTTTGTTGTTCAAATAATTGTGATGCTCAATAGTGCAATTGGTAAGACATTCTTGCTATTTTTACATTCCTATTAATTTCTTTCAGGTTTTCAGTTAGCCACAGAGTTCACTACACAATGCATTATTGAAACACAAGAGAAGCTGGGGGGTTATCGACTCATGTTTGAGACTTCTGCCAAGAGAAGGGAATGCATCCTACATCCTTTTAGGCAAGGTTGGAATGGCAAGATGTTTTCAGATATGGGGGAGCCTTGATCGTCAGTGCTATTTCTTTCCTATTGTTCCCTGAATCAGAATCTCCCTCTATATTCAACAATAGCGATCGAAAATCTTATCTGAACACTCCTGCCAGAAGAAATAGTGAAATAATGAACTGAGCTGACAATGATGTAGTTATCATCAGATTTCCTGTGGGATGAATAGAGTTATCTTAGTATTGTTTCAGGCTCAGGCAACCTGGCTCACATTCGAAAGGATCTTCCCCCGCATCATGCTGTATGGAAAACAGACCTGGAGGCCTCCCAGTCCCCTTAGGGGGTCACCGTAACTCTAGGAACTACAATTTTCAGGTGACTGTTCAGTTCCTTATCCAGAATGTTTTGTTTCAGTTTACAGTTATATAGTGTCCACATCACACACAGAAAATCCAGCACATATCACATTTGTCTGCAGAATCACTAAGGTCTGGATGGATTATGACTCTTTGATTCCCTCTTGTCTGATGAAAGAATTTTAAGATAATTCAAAGAGATCTGCTGTTATGCTGTGCTGCTTCTGGACTTTAAGTCCCTGGGGATGCCAACTTAACACCTTATCCCAGCACTGAATTTACATGAGAAGTGAAGAGCAAAATACAAGAAGTAAACCATACCCAGCAAAACTCATGGTGTTATCTTATGCATGCAGAATTCTGTCCCAAAATATGTCAAATTTTACTTGCAAAAATAAAAGGCTGCTGTTTTATTCTGTATGTGTGCAATCTGCAGAGAAGTGTACTCAGCCACTTCTTTTCTTTAAACATTCAGTGATCAAGTGTGGAATCTGATGTAAAACCGAATGGGAATAAAGTATCATTATTTAAAGGCTACATAACTGCTTAAAATTAGAGCTGTGAAGGCATCAAAAAATACCAGAAATCACAGATGGTTTGCAGATAAATTCACATTGCATTTAGTCCACTCAACATCTAAAAAAAAACCTATGCTTTTGCCTTGCTTTTCAGTCTATCTGTTGATGCCTGCTCAAAACATACTTCCTTCAGATTGGGCTTTGAGTCGTGTTCTGTTGCCCTATGCATTCAGATCCTAGTCACTTTGAAAAATCTGCACAAATACATGTATTTTTAAATGATGTAGTTAAAATTTAATATATTTTGCACATTTTCAAAATGACAACTATCCTAAGCAGGT